AAAATTAAATTATAATAAAAAAATAAATTAAAGAAATTACATAAAAAATGAGAACTTTTAAATAGTTGATTTAATATTAATATTGATTTTTTTTTTTCAAATTCTTATGATATCTTCAAATTTATATTTTATTCAAAAATAAAATCATTATTGCTTTCTTAAAACACATAAAATCGTATTATAACATCGACAGAGACAAAGAATAAAATATAACATTAAAATCGAGATGTACTCGTTGCATTGCACGAGTACCCTTCCAGTATATCTAAGACGAATTTTAGATCTTTCACTTCTTAAAAGTTGATACCACTAAAAAAATACAGTAAGAAAATAGTTATTATACCACAATAAGATCGGGTTTATAGAACGTTAACAATTTTCAGGTGACCCAATAGAATGTCTTATAAGACTTATTTGTAGGATTTAAACGTCATATCTAAACGTGTTGTAATTAATTTATAGAACGTTTTTTGACGTCTTAACAAATTTTTCAGGACACTTTAGTATAAAACGTTGTATTATTTATTTTATAAAACACTTCTATTATTATAGAACACTTGTTTTTATAAGTTACTTGTTCAAATAGTGTGTTATAAAATAGTTAATACGATAATTTTTTATCTATAAAAACGTATTATGATGTTCAAAAGCATCATATAAACTTATTATAACATCTTTAGATATGACATTTTATCGTTTGAATTTAAATTTAAATTTATAAAGCAGTCTATTAGAACGTTGACTTAGACAATTTTTTCCATCTTATAAACCCAATTAGTATCATACAAAGTATTTTTAATAACGAGTCGACATCTAATAAAATCTATAAATTTTTTAGGGAAAAGTTCAAAAAATCCGATGAACTTTTTCATTTTCAATGATTAAGTTTTTATTTTTTTTAATTAAAAACGTTCAATTTTTTCTTTTGAATATATAAACCATTGAACTTTTAAAAATTGGTTACCTATATCATTTTAATCTAAATCGGTTTTTACCATTCTCAAACCCTACGTCATTCAAACCCCTCGTCACCCCTTGTCGTCTCATCGTCGATCGCTTTTTATCACCGCCATTGCTGTATGAAGGGTTTGAAAATGATAAAACCGATTAGACTAAAATAATATAAACAAATAATTTTTAAAAGTTCGATGTTTTTTTATTAAAAAACTGTTTAGAAAATTAATTATTTAAAATTAAAAAATTTAATATTTTTTTCCATTAAAAAATCAGGGGTCGTTTACTAAATACTTACCCGGTAAATATTTATCAATAAATTTTAAAATTATTATTTACTTAATGGGTAAGATTTTAGTCCACCAAAACGACATCACATGCAACAATTTACCCGCTAAGTGTTTACCATGGTAAGAGTCGTCGCAAGTAAAACTCTTGGTCCTTGTCTCGCTCTTTCCAGATAAGATTCTTGATCCTTACCATATTCATCCGATGAGGTAACGTGACTTGGTAAACGCTTACCCGAGTAAGCATTTGGTAAACAACCCCTTAGTTTATTTGGTTTTAATTTATTTAATTTTTCCATTTTTTATTATAAAATTTGGATTTTAATAAATGTCATCATCTTCTTTTAAAAAGGATAACAAGAATATATAAAAATATATATATAAATTATTGTTGGTGTTAAAGCATGGGTTAATTACCAAATATCAAACCGCAATCTCACAAATTCTCCCCCATGCTCTCTCTCCCAATTTTCCTCCTCCGCCACCCGCTATGGTAGCCGGAGTTCTACGTTCACCGGCAACCCTCCTCCTTCTTACTGCCATCACCCTCCTCCTATGGTTCACCACCACCACTGCCACCATCGCCGCCATCTTTAACCAACCACCACCAAATTCAATCGGGAAAGTTCACATCCAACAACGAGATCACCACCACCACCACCTTCTCCCATATCCACCGGCTCGCCGTACATTGCACAACAAAGAAGCATTACCACCACCGCCCAAGAAATTCAATTTCTTGCCGTTCATTTACAGGCGGCACCACCACCGGAAAACCCATCATCGTCCTCTCGTTCCACTGTCCAAGATTGATCCACGATATGGTGTCGAGATGCACCTGGTTCCGACCGGTCCAAACCCGTTACACCACTGAGGTTTCATCCAAGATTTCTAATTTTTATAGCTTTTTATGTTGTTATTGCTTGAAAATATTCGAAAAAATGAATGCAAATACAAAGCCATAATCGTATTGCTTCGTATTTAATTTAATTTCTAGTATATGTTGTTACGATTTAAAAATTGCGATAACTTTTACAAAAACGTATATAAACACAACAACTTATATAAATACGTCTTAAAACGATTTCAAAGCTTTTTTTGGTCTAACGTAGAATTAAAACTGTCTGCATTTCTGGTTGACGTGTATGTAAATGTATGTGTATATGTAGGAACACGTTCAAGGAAATTCGTACAAAAAGTGAAAAACTAAAAAAATACCCTAATAACCGTATGATATATATATATATATATATATGCATATAACTAATTTGTCCGGTATACACATGTGCATAACATGCATGCACACGTGCATGGAAACTAGAAAACAACTTCAAACACTTGTATATACATGTGCATACTGTATAGAAGAATGATTATTAGATTGTTCTTCAGTTTTTTTTTTTTTTTTTTTTTTGGGAGTTTTTTTCCCCTGAACCTCATTATGTATATGTATATATGTGAGAAGTAATCAATTTTAAGGGTTCTTTCTAAAATAGAGAGAAAAAAGAATTTTACAGTTTTTATGTACTTTCTATTTAAATCAATCAGTTGAATGAACTTTTCCAAATTTTCTTTTGAATCCATGACCTTCTAATAGGTTTTAACATGTCATTTCCATACATCAGAATGTCACTTCAATACACCAGAATGCCACTAAACTTGTTAGAAGGTTCTGTTGTTAATAAAAAAAAAACTTATTTAAGGTCAACGGCCTAAATAGTCTTCTTACTTCAACGATTTTTCAATAGATTTTTTAAAATGGAAAAAAAGATGAATGAGAAAAGAACATAAAATTGAACAAATTTGAAATATCCTTTAAAATTAAACAGGAAAAATGAAAAAATAACTGAGATTTTTAGGTATATAACCTTAAATGAGATTTTAATTAAATCTATAACATTCCCTTGCGTATAAACCAATTTCTCTTATATAAACCAAGACGTCATGAATTTAATTAAAAACTCATTTAAGGTCATTTACCTAAATAACTTTGGTATTTTTAATAGAGGAAGAAATATTTTTTTATATTATATAAATATTTTAATAATATAATTAATATTAAAATATTTAAAATAAAAAATATATTATATTAAATGTGATTTTTTGTAATGATTTTAACTTATATTTTTTTAATTTAAATATTTTTTTTTGTTGAGGAAATTAAAAAAATAGCACGAAAATTGAAGTCCTTAGTTTCAGCAAAGGAGTAGTGTATGTGACGGCACGGCGCTTCCACTTTGTGGCAATAAACCTACGCCAAAAAAGGCCCCAATTTTGTACCTATGAATAATAATATATTTTTCAGGGGTTGTTTCGTCATTTGTGTTAAATAGTAGTTGATGAGAATAAAAATAAAAATAAATTAAATTATTTAATTTTATAATATAATATAATATAATAAATTTATTTCTTACAAAACCAAACTTTCGTTTTCATTTTTCTGTTTGAACAAAGTAGACATGATGATGTTATCTAAATACAACACAAACCTCAGGTTCTATCTCAAGCCTACCTGATAGTCTTATGGGTTGTTTGACAGTTGTTGAATGATTCGGTGTTGGAAGATTTAGGGACCGTTTACCGAACGCTTACTCGGGTTAGCACTTACTAAGTTACGTTACCTTATCGGATGAATATGGTAAGGAGACCAAAAATCTTACCCGATAAGAGAGAAACAAGGACCGAAAGTCTACCCGGTAAGTGAGAGTGACAGCTCTTATTACAGTCAGTGCTTACCGGGTAAATTGTTGTATACGATGTTGTTTTCTTGGACTAAAATCTTACCCGGTAAGTAAGCGATAGTATTGAATTTCATGGGTAAGCGCTTACCAGGTAAGTGATTAGGTAAACGACCCGTAAGTAGTTAGTATGATTAAGAGGCTCTCATATGATATAGTGCAAAATGAAATATAATTGTTTGGTAATTGAGAATGAAATTAGGACGCTGAATAGTTAAGGGAGA